GGGTAAATATTGTGTATTTACTTATTTATTTTTAGTAAAATTGCTTCTATTATGCGCAGTTAAGTGAACAATACAGGTTTATTGTACGTGTGTCGCATAAGGTGGTTTTCTGCTGCTTGCAAACGGACCCGTAAGAATACAGTGGATTTACAAATATGTTGCTCTGATTCCACGTACAATGCTCGAATACACTGCAGGCTCACTCTCGCTCGTATCCAGGGTAATTCCTCAACACTATCATCCCTTACTTATTTAACTGAATACATCACAATAAGCTAAAACGCATGCACAGGATACCTTATTTCCTGAACAAGGGCGCACCCGAGTCCGTGCTGGGTAGTCAGTACTACCACCACCTCCTCCAGGTAGTCTCGGGTCCGGTACCCCAGTGCGCACCCGGTTCCCATAATGGCGTTCACATTAGCGATTTTTCATGCGAACCATTCCCCGTTACGGACTTAACTGCCAGGGTGAAAGTTCCCTAAGCCATTTTGAAACGTTAATAAAGATGTGCATAATCCTGCAAAGATTAAATCGCCCCTCTTTTTCGCATCTTTGTTTGCGCTCAAGAAGATGATAATCGGCCAGCCAGGCCCCAATCTACTTCCCGCTTTTGCTCGGCTTCACACCACAGCTCATTTGCACAGGTACGTTTCTCCACTGCCCAGCAGTGACGTCTACTCTGCTCCCACTGAAGCTCTGTTTCTCCGGCTAATTTTCTATACTGCCCAGCAGTGACGTCTCCTCTGCTCCCACTGGAGCTCTGTTTCTCTGGCTAATTTTCTCCACCGCCCCAGCAGTGACGTCTCCTCTGCTCCCAAAGGAGCTCCGTTTCTCTGACTAATTTTTCTACTCTGCCCCAGCAGAGGTGTCTCATCTGCTCCCACAGGAGCTCTGTTTCTCTGACTAATTTTTCTACTTTGCCCCAACAGGGATGTCTCATCTGCTCCCACAGAAGCACTGTTTCTCTGACTAATTTTTCTACTTTGCCCCAACAGTGATTTCTCATCTGCTCCCACAGGAGCTCTGTTTCTCTGACTAATTTTTCTACTCTGCCCCAGCAGTGATGTCTACTCTGCTCCCACAGGAGCTCCGTTTCTCTGACTAATTTTTCTACTCTGCCCCAGCAGTGATGTCTACTCTGCTCCCACAGGAGCTCTGTTTCTCTGACTAATTTTTCTACTCTGCCCCAGCAGTGATGTCTACTCTGCTCCCACAGGAGCTCCGTTTCTCTGGCTAATCTTTTCTACTCTGCCCCAGCAGTGATGTCTACTCTGCTCCCACAGGAGCCGTGTTTCTTTCGGCTAATTTTTCTACTCTGCCCCAGCAGTGATGTCTCATCTGCTCCCACTGAAGCTCTGTTTCTCCGGCTAATTTTCTATACTGCCCCAGCAGTGACGTCTCCTCTGCTCCCACTGGAGCTCTGTTTCTCTGGCTAATTTTCTCCACCGCCCCAGCAGTGATGTCTCCTCTGCCCCCACAGGAGCTCTGTTTCTCTGGCCAATCTTTTATACTCTGCCCCAGCAGTGATGTCTCATCTGCTCCCACAAGAGCCGTGTTTCTTTCGGCTAATTTTCTACTCTGCCCCAGCAGTGATGTCTCATCTGCTCCCACAGGAGCTCTGTTTCTCTGGCTAATCTTTTCTACTCTGCCCCAGCAGTGATGTCTACTCTGCTCCCACAGGAGCTCCGTTTCTCTGGCCAATATTTTATACTCTGCCCCAGCAGTGATGTCTCATCTGCTCCCACAAGAGCCGCGTTTTTTTTTTCCGGCTAATTTTCTACTCTGCCCCAGCAGTGATGTCTCATCTGCTCCCACAGGAGCTCTGTTTCTCTGGCTAATCTTTTCTACTCTGCCCCAGCAGTGATGTCTACTCTGCTCCCACAGGAGCCGTGTTTCTTTCGGCTAATTTTTCTACTCTACCCCAGCAGTGACGTCTCATCTGCTCCCACTGAAGCTCTGTTTCTCTGGCTAATTTTTCTACTCTGCCCCAGCAGTGATGTCTCATCTGCTCCCACAGGAGCTCTGTTTCTCTGGCTAATTTTTCTACTCGGCCCCAGCAGTGATGTCTCATCTGCTCCTACAGGAGCTCTGTTTCTCTGAATAATTCTCATATGAGCTCTGTTTCTCTGGCTATTTTTTCTACACTGACACAGCAGTGATGTCTACTCTGCTCCCACTGGAGCTCTCTTTCTCTGACTAATTTTTACTCGGCCCCAGCAGTGATGTCTACTCTGCTCCCACTGGAGCTCTCTTACTCTGGCTTATTTTCTACACTGCTATAACAGTGACGTCCCCTCTGCTCCCACTGGAGCCCTGTTTCTCTGGCTAACTTTCTACACTGCCACAGCAGTGTCGTCTCCTCTGCTCCATCTGAAACTCTTTTCTCTGGCTAATTTTCTTCACCGTCACAGCAATGATGTCTACTCTGCTCCCACAGGAGCTCCGTTTCTCTGGCTAATTTACTACACCGCCACAGCAGTGACGTCTCCTCTGCTCCCACAGATGCTCTGTTTCTCTGGATAATTTTCTACACTGCTCAAGCAGTGACCTCTTCTCTGCTCCCGCAGGAGCTCTGTTCCTCTGGCTTATTTTCTACACTGCTATAACAATGATGTTTTCTCTCCAGTACATCACCATTTAGAATTATTATTCCTGCTAAAACCCTTAATTGATTATTTCCTCTGTCCAGCAAGCTTGGTCTCCAAGCTAACGTCGCACGCATCAAAATTTATCCTCCAAGCGGTATCTCCCAGGACCCTTCAATCCTATATTACCGCTTGGAGGTAACATAAAGAAAGGAAACGATAAATATAACGTCTCTTATAACTTGCCTTCCCCCGATTTTTCTCTTTCCAATCAAATCTTTTATCTCCTATTAAAGGTTATTTGAGCGGCAATCCAGTTTTTCCCATAAACTGTCGTACGGCACTACTTCTGTGGAGTTAAACAATTCACAAACCCTGATTAAAGGGATCCAAAGATCCCAGCCCACCCGCCCCCGACTCCGGACACCCCATAACACTGGAAATTCTCATTAAATGTATTCGGCTTTCCGCATAAGCTACCAGCCCTTCAGTTCCACTCACACACTCAATGCAACGTTTAAATTACCCTTTTTCGTTTTTCTTAGACACTCAAAAAACCGCCATCACTTTATGAGCAGAGTGAGTGCTTTCCCAGAGGAGCCCTTACATTTTTCTCCTTCATCCAGCGAGCAGTTGGTCTCACAGCGGATGCAGTGTGAGAAAAATCTCCTGGGCAAGCACTCAATTTTTCCACTTTTCAGTTTTCCTTCTTCCATCCAGCGAGCATCGGTCTCACAGCGGATGGAGTGAGAGCTTTCCCAGTAGAGCACTTAAAATTTTCTCTTTCATCCAGCGAGCAGTTGGTCTCACAGCGGACGGACATGAGAAAATTTCCTGGGCAAACACTCATTTTCCCCTCTTGTCAGGTTTCCTCTTTCCGTCCAGCGAGCATTAGTCTCACAGCGGACGGAGTGAGAGCTTTCCCAGTAGAGCACTTAAAATTTTCTCTTTCATCCAGCGAGCAGCTGGTCTCACAGCGGATGGAATACGAGAAATCTCCTGGGCAAACACTCATTTTCCCCTCTTGTCAGGTTTCCTCTTTCCGTCCAGCGAGCATTGGTCTCACAGCGGACGGAGCGAGAGCTTTCCCAGTAGAGCACTTACATTTTCTCTCTTTCATCCGGTGAGCATTCGGTCTCACCGTGGACGAGAGTACGAGAAAATCTCCTGGATAAGCACTCATTTTTCTCTTTTCAGGTTTCCTCTTTCCGTCCAGCGAGCATTGGTCTCACATCGGACGGAGCGAGAAAGTTCCAGGTAGAGCACTCATGTTTTCTCTTTCATTTCAGCGAATATTTGGTCTTACAGTGGATGCAGCGCGAAAACCTCCTGGACAAGTATACAACAACCACACCTTGTTCGCAGTCAACAAGGGCCATCAGTCCAGGCAGTGAGCCAACATCACGGGCCTCCCTGACCAAGCATCCAGGCCCCTTCTCGAGATGCCAGCCCGCCATTTCTTGGCACTCTTTGGGGGGTCTTTAGTCCGGCGGCTGTCCTCTGCTCTTTAGCCTTTTGGGGGGAGTACTCTGGGTTCGGGCAGAATTCCGAGCACGGAGCCCTCCCTCCGGACAGCACGCCAAATACGCATTGAATCTTACTCACTCAAAATTATATGTAAGTGTGAACTCGTGAAATGAAGTTTTGTTAATAACTAAGTTCGGGAGGAGCACGTTCAGATAATTAACACGAGTGGACGGCAATCAGCAATCAGCAACCAATGATAAGAGGGTATATATAGACTCAGCAGTCTTACCTCGATCCATTGGCAGTTTGCAGCATCCCTCCTCCACCCCTTCTCCACACTCCTAGTCCTGCACACTCCTCTTTCTAAAAAAATCACTTGCATACGGGGGGAGTACTCTGGGTTCGGGCAGAATTCCGAGCACGGAGCCCTCCCTCCGGACAGCACGCCAAATACGCATTGAATCTTACTCACTCAAAATTATATGTAAGTGTGAACTCGTGAAAGGAGAACTGACATCACACATTCATTTTAGCCACAAACATTTTTTGCACAGAATGTTGTAAAGTGAAGCAACAGACGAGTGAACCAGCAATACGAGTGAACCCTTTCTTGCATTCCCCTGCCAGTTTGTGAGATGACCTCAAGGTTGAAGGTGCAATGGGGAGGATTTAGCATTTCTCACGCAATTGTGGTGATGTAAACAAGCTCTAGACATTACTGGTTACCCATTACAGTACTGTACGTCATAAAGATTGTTTACTGGCAGAGCATACCATAACTGACCCCTGATTTCAAAAACTGATTGTATGCAAGCAAGAGTGTGTGAGAGATTGCTCACACGTGGGTAAATACTGACGTGTACAGCATGAATGGGTCAACGAGTGTGTGTTTACATAACACTTATTCTCATTCTTAGCAAACTGGTGGGATAAATAACAGAACCAAACAGTTTATTTGTAATTTATTACAGTTTTGTTGTTCTTCAACAAAAAGAATTGAAAAAAGGCGTTGTATTTGGGATAGCTGGTTATGATTATTAATTACAGCTGATGAGAGAGACTTTTAAGTCCATGATTTTTGTGACTTTCACACATTACACAGTCCAAAAAGTGTTAAAATTGCAAACAGCAACCACAGATTCACACACACATATGAGCAATGCTTACTGCCTCACTTTAAAAGCAACCGTGACCCCCTACACCAGCCATTTTACACACATTACAGACAATCTTGTCATTTTAAGCATGCTCCTAATCCTTTAAGAACTAACAGCCAAATGCAACAGTGTTTGAGATTGGATTTAATTGGATTTTTTTTCTTTCAAGTATGCAGTGTTTGAACAGTTTAGATGGGGAGTGGGGGCATCTATTGAATTTCAAAACCCAAATATAACATCAAGAACCTTCTTGAATTTGCATTTCCTTCATTTCACTTTTGATGTAAAAGGGCCTTTACATTTTCCAACAAAATAACCTTTTTTATTGTTACAAAAAAAAAAAAAAAAAAAAAAGAAACAGCCCAAATGAGAAAAAGTAAAACAAAAGTAATGTAAAGCATTACTTTCCAAAAAAAGTAACTAACACAATTAGTTACTTTTAGGGAGTAACACAATACTGAATTCATTACTTTTAAAAGTAACTTACCCCCACACTGAGCCTATGTAGATCATAGACTCTGTTTACACCTGGTATTATGCTTGGTCGATCGGATCATAAGTGGTCAACGCTAAATACAGGTGTAAAAGGGGTCTAAAATGTTTTTGAGCTTGTCCACGTTGGACCACTTCCAGAGTCAAAAACGCATTCGACTGGATTGCTTATGTAGTGTAAACACTCATATGGTCGAATGTGTTCAAACAGTAGCAAAGACTGCCTACTGACCTAAAGCATAAACATTATGGGAAGCGCACTAGCCAGACAGGATATCAACTTTGTTGGCGAAAGACCCAAGTTTAGTTTGAAGACGAAAAATGTACTAAGCATTTCTAACACGCCGTGGTCTCACGGCAGTCAAAGCAGAAATGACAGTTGCTGTACTTTGTATGTTTTCTGTCGTCTACAGGGATGTTCATAGCTAAATTTCACGAGGTTATTTTGTTCATTAGATTGAAAAATCAGGACAGAAGTGCTCAAAAGTGGACAAAACAGACGAGATTAAAACACCAGGTATAAACAGGAATGTGTTTGCCTCATCTACTTGTGATCCGATCAAACAAAACACATCTTAATACCACGTGTAAACAGGGCCATATAGGCCATTTGTGCCAATAGTTTCTACAATCTACGATGCTTTTGAGAAATACAGCCCTGGTTTTTGCTGAATAATGCTGAGATAGATGTCACCTGTTGAACATTGATTTTGTTGAAGTTATTGATTGTTTGTGAAGTGAATGAGGCAGAACATTTAAGATTGAAGATTGACAGATTGCGTTCGGGTTGCCATAGGAAGAAAGAGCAAGATTAATGAAGAGGGAGTATATAGCATTGCTGGATCATACAGGTTGTTCTTGGTTCGAGAAGGGCATGTGGAGGTTTAATTTGGGTCATCAGGTGCAGCAAGCTTCTCCAGAGTGGGCTCTACACCCCAGATCTCACGGGCGTACTGGGAGATGGTGCGGTCACTGGAGAACTTGCCTGAACCGGCAATGTTGAGGATGACTTTCTTAGTCCATTCTTTAGGTTTCTGTCAACAGGAGGATATTTATAAATCATCAAGGTTCATAATTTCTCAATTTGTTTGGCAACGTAACAACAAAAGCAGTTTACATACTCACCTTATACAAAGCACTGACTTTATCTTGGCATTTAATGTAGTCTTCATAGTCAGCAAACACCTTGAACCTGTGCGGCAAAAAAACATGGTTTATATTTTAAATGTAGTTAAAATATGTTCTATCTACAGTAGCATATTATTTACATTAAAACATGTCTATTTCTTTAAAGACCTAAATAGAAGATTTTTTTGAATGATTTGAATAGACTTTAACAGAAAATTATGTTTAAGGCAAAGTAGTTCCTTCAAAAATTGTAAGTTCTAATTATCTCCCCATTAGTCGTTGCATGTGTTTTCCTTGTACAACGGAAACATTGGTGTTTATTACTGACTATCTATGTTTGTGGTAATGTGTACATGCATGTTTCTTGTTCCTATACGTCTACCTATCATGGTGCATCAGCATGTTGACAATATCCTTGAAAAGGTCTGGCTGTTTTGGGCTGAAGAATCCTCCAGCGATCTGGTCTATGGCTTGCTTCAGCTCTGGAATACGATTGTAGAACTCGGATGCGTTGTATCTGCCAGATGGAAGGAGGTCATGTCACATACACTACATACTGTATATACACTGTGTGAGTGCTTATTATTATATCACAAAATTCTAAAAAATATATATATATATTTTATTTAGTATTAAAATTGTATTTTTTCCCCAACCCTCTAGCATCCATGGCTTCGACATCCTCCACTCTCATGCCGAAAATGAAGATGTTGTCATGTCCTGCTTCCTCTGCCATCTCCACATTGGCTCCATCCATGGTGCCGATGGTCAGAGCTCCATTCAGCATGAACTTCATGTTGCCTGTTCCAGAAGCTTCGGTGCCGGCTGTGGAGATCTGCTCGGACAGGTCAGATGCTGGGATCACTGACAAAAACAAGGATATTCTTGATGAACACATGACTCACACTTTCAGGTAAATATAAGGCAGTATAAGTTGCGCTGGAATGAATTGTAAAATGAGGAACCGAAGATGGGCAGGTAGAGTTACAATGCTGCATTTTCATTTGTTTATTAATTACATTTAGTATTCATTTGAATATTGTGTCTATAGTAAAGCTCATCTCCAATTATCAAAACATAAGTTATATTATTAAAATATCAAGGTATTATTAAAAAAAAAATTACTTAAACATTTGAAATTCTCTATTACATAATTTTGTATGTCTATTTTATAAATGTAAAAGTGTGTCATGAAATGTTATTTTGTGAGGTTTTTGTTTGTGTTTTTTTGCCAGTGGACAATTGCACATTTCATTTATATGATTACTTTACACCCGTCGGCGGCCCTGGATAATATTAAGACACTTCAAATGTTGTAATTTGGCACCTTTCTCTGCAAGGGTAACTCTGTAGTTCTCCAGGAAAATGACTTTGAGGCGGTCGCCCACCACCGGGTCATTATTTACCACCTCACCAATAGCTGTGATAAGACGAATAATCATTTTAGCTGTGTGGTAGCCTGGAGCAGCCTGGGAAAGATTGAGCAGAACATTATAAAACATTCAGACATAACATAATACATAACAATTCAGATATTTCAAAATAATTAAAAAAAAACCATCGTCATGCTAATCTGACTGAATTGGAGTTACTTGACATGGCGAGATTACCTTTCCTCCAATCATAATTGTTCTTGGGGTCCACTGCTTGTTAGGCTCTTTCCTGATACCTGCAAAATAGAAATAACTACTCTTATATTTTATATCTCATAAATTGTATATTTTATATCTCCTCAAAGACAACACCCTTGACTGATAGTGATAGTGGTAAAGGGACAAATATTTTTTCATTAATTATCCTTTTATGCTTATTTTCTCTTATAAAAAATGTCAAAACCTTGGCAACCTTGACTAAAAGCAATAGTAAAAATGGGGGAAATGTTTAATTTATTTTATAATATCAAATATAATTTTTATGTATGTTTACTTTCTGTTCCAAAAAAATACACCTGACTGAAAAAAAACACACATACACAGACTCTCTATGAAACGTCCCCCACAAATGAAGTCAACACTGGCAGAACTCGGTGTTCTTTTACAAGACTTCTTAATAAAAAGTGTGACTTCTCTGTATTAACATGTACCTAATGTTCCATCTAGAGGTTTGTTTTTTTTCTAGGATGTTTTTTTTTTTTAATTTTTGGGTGAACTATCCCTTTAAAGTGCAGAAGCCACTCACGGTTGTAGAAAGTGATAATATGTAGACAGTTGAGCAGCTGCCTCTTATACTCATGGATTCTCTTCACCTGAAGGTCAAACATTGAGTTGGGGTTGATCTTTACTTTGTAGTGCTCTTCCAGGTGCACTGCAAACTTCAGCTTGTTCTCCTGGAAGGAAAAAATCCATTTTAAATTCCAAAACCCAAATGGGTAGTTGATATGGGCCATTTTTTCATAATTTCTAACCTGTTTAACTTTGGCGATATCTCGAATGAAAGCCTCATCATTGACAAAATTCTTAAGATTTTGCAGCTGATCCAGATCACGAATGAAGTCCTCTCCGATTCTCTAACATTTGAGCAGGCCAAAGAAAGTCAGAGCAGGAATATGACTATCAAACCATCACATTATCCATTATTTAAAAGTGCAATTAGTGCAGACACAGCTGCTGTCAAAGTCGCAGTCAGTTATGTTAATAAACAACAAACGCAGTTATGAAGCTCACCAACCTCTGCAATGACCTCAGCCAGACCAGGGTTGCACATCACCAACCAACGGCGAGGGGTGATACCATTAGTTTTGTTCTGGAACTTGTGTGGATCCATCTCAAAGAAGTCTTTAAATCTATTTAGGAAAGGAACGGGGTCATTATTTAATCAACCTCATGCATAGCTGACAACTTTTGTGTTTAGCTTGGAGTGAGACTTTTCCGACATGGAGCACAATCTCTGTCTCGCGTGCGCGACGCGTGGCTCAACAGGTAGATATATACGCTCACCTAAAGGATTATTAGGAACATCATATATACTAATACTGTGTTTGACCCCCTTTCGCCGTCCGAATTGCCTTAATTCTACGTGGCATTGATTCAACAAGCTGCTAAAAAGCATTGTTTAGAAATGTTGGGCCATATTGATAAGACAGCATCTTGCAGTTGATGGAGATTTGTGGGATGCACATCCAGGGCACGAAGCTCCCGTTCCACCACATCCCAAAGATGCTCTATTGGGTTGAGATCTGGTGATTGTGGGGGCCATTTGAGTACAGTGAACTCATTGTCATGCTTAAGAAACCAATTTGAAATGATTCGAGCTTTGTGACATGGTGCATTATCCTGCTGGAAGTAGCCATCAGAGGATGGGTACCTGGTGGCCATAAAGGGATGGACATGGTCAGAAACAATGCTCAGGTAGGCAGTGGCATTTAAACGATGCCCAATTGGCACTGGGGGGCCTAAAGTGTGCCAAGAAAACATCCCCCACTCCATTAAACCACCACCACCAGCCTGCTCAGTAGTAACAAGGCATGATGGATCCATGTTCTCAATCTGTTTACGCCAAATTCTGACTCTGTTTTAACAGAAATCGAGACTCATCAGAACAGGCAACATTTTTCCAGTCTTCAACTGTCCAGTTTTGGTGAGCTCTTGCAAATTGTAGCCTCTTTTTCCTTTTTGTAGTGGAGATGAGTGGTACCCGGTGGGGTCTTCTGTTGTTGTAGCCCATCCGCCTCAAGGTTGTGTGTGTTTTGGCTTCACAAATGCTTTGCATACCTCGGTTGTAACAAGTGGTTAATTCAGTCAAAGTTGCTCTTCTATCAGCTTGAATCAGTCGGCCCATTCTCCTCTAGCATCAACAAGGCATTTTCGCCCACAGGACTGCCGCATACTGGATGTTTTCCCGTTACACACCATTCTTTGTAAACCCTAGAAATGGTTGTGTGTGAAAATCCCAGTAACTGAGCAGATTGTGAAATTCTCAGACCGACCCGTCTGGCACCAACAACCATGCCACGCTCAAAATTGCTTAAATCACATTTTTTTCCCATTCTGACATTCAGTTTGGAGTTCAGGAGATTGTCTTGACCAGGACCACACCCCTAAATGCATTGAAGCAACTGCCATATGATTGGTAGAAATTGAAAATGCTGTTCCTAATAATCCTTTAGATGAGTGTAGATAAACTCATCTTCCAGGCATTTAACAGACCAGGTTGACACTTCAGCTTGAGAAATCAGGGGTGTGGATTGTGAGCGTGTGAAACCAATCAAATGCGTGTCTCATGGCCAATGTGTGAAAGTTGGCAGGTCTGCCTCATGTCATTATAAACTAGTAAAAAAGTAAATTATTCACTGAGAACAACTGTGACAGGGTGATTTGTAAGACCATTTCTGTAACAAATAGTTTACTGAATAGTATAAACTGCATAATCTCAAAAACAACTATTTGTTCACTGATTTAATTCGCAACTTCCGTTCACTGACTTAATGATCCAATCACTTAAATGTCAGTCTATCGAGACAGAAAGCTGTCATATGACACATATCGTGTGACTTGTCACTATTTCTTTACAAGTTAGTTAAGATTGTAAGTAAAGATCGATGATTAACATGGTTTGTCTGTATGTGTGTTTGAATACATACATGGTAGCTTTGAGGATGTCGGAGTGGATACGTGCCACACCGTTGACTGCATGAGAGCCAACAATGCACATATGAGCCATGTTGACTTTCTTCTGTCCACCCTCCTCAATGAGAGACATGCGGCGCATGCGGTCCACATCACCGGGAAACATAGAGGACACACGCTATAACAACAAACAGACTGTTCTGTTTACAGCACGCTCACAAAACACGCTTTTTGATGTTATAGCATCTATCAGCAGGATATAAATACTTTTATTAACAAAGGATGCATTAAAATGAAACAGAAGTGGCAGTAAAGACTTCTATCATGTTACAAAATATTGTCAAAAATGCTTTTTTTAATTACTTTCTATTCATCAAATAATTGTTGAAAACTAGTGGTGTCAAATCGATTAATCGTGATTATTCACATCTAACATAAAGGTTTGTGTTTATATCATATATGTGTGAGAATTTTTTTTGTATATATGTACACACAAACACACACATATATATATATATATATATATATATATATATTTAAGTTCAGTAATTTCACTTAAATGACAATTAATAGGTAATCTTCATTGCCATTTAAGTGAAATCACTGAACTTAAATATACAAGCTTGATAAAAATGATCATTCAAGAAGAAAATTTCAAATGGCATTTAGAGGCTTTTGCATCTGAACTCTTCATATATATATATATATATATATATTTATATATATATATATATATATATATATATATATATACACATATATTAATACAAACGTTTATGTTAGATGCGATTAATCACGATTAATCGATTTGGCACCACTAGTTTTTCTTGAGCAGAAAATCAGCATATTAATATGATTTCTGAAGGGTCATGTGACACTGAAGACTGGAGCAATGATGCTGAAAATGCAGCTTTGCCATCACAGGAATAAATTACATTTTAAAATATATTGAAATAGAAAATGATTATTTTAAATTGTAACAATATTTCATAATAATAGTTTTAACTGTATTTTGGATCAAGTACAAATCAAAGCATTAAGAGATTTGTTTAAAAAACTTACAGACCCAAAACCTTTGAACGGCCAAATCTTGGCTCTCTGGTTTAGTGTAAAAGTGTGTTATAGTTTTGTGTTGTGTTGAAGCTGAACCTCCATGTGGCGGCGGTTGATTTCATAGATGATCTCGAGGTGCCGGGGCAGCAGAGACTGGAAGAGGTCAATAGGCCAGCGTTCCAGAGCCTCAGGCAGCACAGTGTGGTTGGTGTAGGCGCAGGTCCTAACGCAGATGTCCCATGCCTGCAGAGAGTGAGGGAGTTTACACAGTATGGCTTACAACTTATCCAGTAGACTTCATTTATAACAAGAGTAACTTGGGATTTTAAAACACTTTTATGTAATGTTTACCATAAATAAGGAACAAAAAAAAAAAAATCAAGTAACATAACAAGTGAATTCAATGGTGTTGTTCACTGTTCAGTATCATGTTTGAGATCTGAGCTTGTCTGTACTCTGTCGCCCTCTAGAGTTATGAGTCTGTGGCCTTTTAGTGTTGCATGAAACTTGAAGGAATGACAAAAAAAAATAAATTAAAAATAACATATTCACAAATCTCAAACCTTCTCCCAAGTTAGTTTTTCCTCATCAACCAGCACTCTCATCAGCTCAGGGATGGCTAAGGCAGGGTGAGTGTCGTTTAGCTGAATAGCCACCTGAGAGCAATCAAACAAACGAAGGGTCAAGAAAAGCAGAGCTGACTGAGCTGTGACACCCACATCTTTCAATGAGACTTCAGAAGATCTTGATATATGTATAAGATGGGTGAACGGAGCTTACCTTGTCAGGCAGAGCGCTGAAATCCGTGCGCACAATATCCCTGGAGCCGAACTTGGAAGCCTTGAAGCGGCGGATGATGTCTTGGAGAGTCGCAGCCACTACAAAGTACTCCTGCTTCAATCTGAGCTCCTTACCCTCAAAAAACTACAAGAAGACAGGGACCGAAAGCTTCAAGACCACTTGTGTCTTCAAAACTAGGATTGTCCTTAACAGAATAGTTGACCCAGTTTGATGCTTTTGGCCCTTTTTAAAGTTTGAAAGCCTCAGTCTTCATACATTGTAAAAGCAAACAGCATCTTCCTCAAATTTTAAATACTGACTGAATGTTAATTTCTGGGTGAACTTTTCCTTTAAATTGAGGACCTATTGTGTGTTTACTGACGTTGTCATTGGGGTAGAGCACACGAGAGATGTTCTCCGCCAGGTTCCTGTCCAGCACGGCCTGAATATAGCCACCAACATTAACTGAGGATGGAAGGAGAACATGTGAGACAGAGTGAAGATTGGATGGTTTAAGGCAGGGGTGTCCAATCCTGCTCTTGGAGCGCCACTGTCCTGCAGAGTTTGGCTCCAACTTGCCTCAACACACCTGTTTGGAAATTTGTATTATGCCTAGTAAGAACTAGATTTGATGGTTCAGGTGTGTCTAATGCCTGGTTCAGTTTTTTTTTTTTTGTCTGTTACGATTACGCGACTTTGACTCCTAAAATCTTGTTATGTCGTGGACAAGACATGTCAGACTACACGTTGCTTCCTGACCAGTCATCGCATGCCATCTTTAACGGCGCGCGCGATGGCATTGAGAAGGCGAAACTACTGTAGTAGCGAGTGACTTCCGGAAACGAACGTAAACAAACAATGGATGGAGTGGTGAGTGTTGTATTGGCTGTCCTGTGTTCAGAAAAAGGTAAAAAAAAAAAAAAAGAAAGAAAACCTGACAATGGACATGTTCCTGGATTGCTCGAAGAGGACAGTATGGGCTGTCAATCCTCCAAAGAGAACTTGAGGTAAAATATTGTTTTATTATTTATTTTTTCTTTTAGTCTTAACGTTAGCACCATCGTCTCTCTTTCGTTTCGAGATTGAAAGTTGTGTACGGAAAAGCTTCTGTGCTCCTATTGGTCAACCTCATACATGTGACGGAACCGTCATGGACGAACGTTAAAAAAATTAAACATGCTAGTCTTTTTGTCGTGATGCCGTGGAGCATCGCAGACGCGACGTAGGTTGTCGACCACTATGACACACTATACGAAATGATACGAATCTTGCATCCCGACGCCCGTTGTCGTTTACGAATCCCCACGACACCCTACATTAAACGGATCGTGCCAAAATCGGGCTAAAATCGTGAACCAGGCGGCATTGAGACTGATGCTATACTCTGCAGCACCAGGAGCAGGATTGGACACCCCTGGTTTAAGGCCCTAGTTTACTCATGGCAAAGTTCTTTTATGTTCTTAGCTTATGTACGATAACTGTCACTGGCACTCACAGTCTTTCAGGTTGAAATCGCATGGGGCTTTAGCAGACCACAGCCTCATGGTGTTTACGATGTTGTTTCTGTATCCGGGTACAGGGGTGTCGTAGGGCAAAGCCAAGACAACCTGGGTAAACAATATAAAGGGGGTTTATAAATATAGTATTAACACACACAAGCCTACAGCTTTATGAATGGTGATGATATACCTGAGTATCAACCCATTTCACTCCATCTGGGTGATGCTCTGTCCTACCATAAAAGTGCACAGGACGTGTATATTCTGGACGGGCTTTCTCCCATGGGTTACCGTAGCGGAGCCAGTCGTCAGCCTCTTCAACCTGTCAAGCATCGATATTATACGAATTTCAAGATATGTGCAGAGTAAAAATATTTAACTATAAGTAACATTTATGCATGTTTACAAATGGAAAAAAAATGTGAATGTGAAAAGGTGGTTGCTAGGCAGGTGTTTAGTAATAGCAATCATTGGGGTTTGTTTATCTTTTCTTTTTGTTTTTCAAATCAAGTCAAACTATTAAAGGTCATTTAAACTACCTGCCAGCCATTGCAGATTTTCTGGTTGAAGATACCAAATTCATAGCGAATTCCGTAACCATAGGCAGCCAGCCCAAGAGAGGCCATAGAGTCCAGAAAGCAAGCTAACAGACAAATAAAGAAAGAAAGAGAGAGAGAGACCAAGGGTGACCTTTCAGAAAATATTTATCATGCTTGTGGAAGGTTCTGTAGCTTTGAAAGTTTCAAAATCAGGCTTGTGCAAAGTATAATATATACAGAGAATGATGGTTCCTCTTTCAAACCCAAGGTCAGATTACTCACCAGCAAGACGACCAAGGCCTCCATTTCCCAGTCCAGCATCTTCCTCCATCTCCTGCAGCTCTTCCATGTCCAGACCCAGCTGTGGAAGAAGGTGTGTAATCATTCATTGGTTTCAAAACAATAATCTAAAGCAGTACACTGGATTGTTTTGTGTTGTCTTACCTGATAGGTGGCTTCATCACAAGCATTTTCCAGGGCCAGGTTCACCATAGTGTTCTGCAAGGTACGGCCCATGTAGAACTCCAGGGAAAGGTAATATACACGCTAACAGACACAAGAATGATAAGACAGAGTTAGTTTTGTTTGTTTATTTATATATTTCAAGTAGGACAATGTGCAAAAAGCATTAATTAAAGATGCTTTGCACCAGATTTAGCTTAAAATAGTTTCCATCTGTAGTCCCCAAGTAGTCAGGACTCATTCGTTGTTTGTGTTTATTATTGGGTTTAAGCACGTAGCAATTAAACCCTATTGTAAATGTTAGAATTTCAAAGGATCAGCTAAAAGTAATCGAGCAGACCAAACCCAAGTCCTATAGAGACTTGAAACTTTGAGGAATGGTAGTACCCATCTACAACATCATCAAGGCTCGCCCAATTGGCGAGCAAAAGTATGTAATAGCTCATGACTCCTAAACTGTTTGTCGCAGGCTCAAGAGTCTTATATCATTGGAATCCTTGACTCAAGGCATATTTGATAAACATATTTTTTGTTAACTAGTCCTTTTTGCCCAATCAGAATCACACCAGTGCAGAATGATTTACTGGAGTCTGATTGTCAATAATTATTGGGAAAAAAGGTCAAAATCTCATTTCACGTCAGTGACGGGACGCCAAAATGTACGAAGTGGGCATGACCACTTTTACAAAAACGACTATCCCTCTTGAATGGAATGAGATAATTTCACCAAACTTGGTACACCTATGTGTTGAGCTCAATCTGTGGTAGCATGAAAAAAAACAACAACAACATGAAAACGGTTATATCTACAGCCACAGTCAGTCCGATGCTGTATCTTTGTCCAAGGTGCCACAGATTGTCTCAAAAAACATGGATACCATCGGCCAATGAATTTTGAGCAGCATACTAATACATTTGTGATGAGAACTTTTTCTGCAGCCGTTTATTTCTGATACTTAAGAAGTAATATCGCCATCTGAAGGGCATTGAAGGTACTATTTCTTGTGCATTTTGCCCTTACTCACCCAAACTTGTCAACAAGGCTACTTTACGTGAATGCGAGTGCATTGGCAGGTAATTGCTGAATCGTGTTTCATATACAACAAGCAGCTGGTGAAACAGCTCAAAGATGCATTTTAGTCTGGGACTAGGGTTAAGTCTTGTCTGTGAATCCGGTGGTATGACTTTAAGCCATTTTTCAAGGAATCAGTACTGCTAATCAGCCATGGTTTTCAGGTACTCATGGGGTGGTAATGGCGCAGTGGATAAGACACATGCCTTTGGTGTAAGAGACCTGGGTTCCAATCCACTGTTAGACACCAATGTGTCCCTGAGCAAGACACTTAACCCCTAGTTGCTCCAGAGGCGTTCGACCTCTGACATATATACCAATTATAAGTCGCTTTGGATAAAAGCATCAGCTAAATGAATAAATGTAAATGTACTCTTTACAACTCTGACATAAACTTTGAGCAATTTTTTAGTCGGCTACCCGGAACAATTAAAAGGCCGGCTTCTAAAGAACGGAGATCACATGCTGGTGTGTAGGGTGTTAAAAGTTCAGTTAGATAATGAGGTGTCAGTCCATGCAAGGCCTTATAAGTACAGTAAGCAATACGATTTTAAAATCAAAAAAGTTAAATATATATAAGTAACATGACATTGCTTACGTAATTGTTATGTACTTTCGATACATTGATTTGGGGTTACCAAGTCAAGCTCTGCACGGACCATCCTATTTTTAGACTTTATTAAGGACTATTTGAATACTTTCTGGCAGAGGGATAATTTAACACATGGCAATCCAACACCATCCCTGTTGTAGCCTTTGACATTTTAGGCCTTCCTTTGGTGTAAAGAGACAGTGGAGGTGAGAGTGGGTGTGTGACGGCATGACGGGCTGAAACAGACTAGTTAGAGATTGGGGAAGGTCAATGGTGTTGTATAACAGTGGCATTTTGACTCCAGTAAAAATAACCAGCAGTGAGGTCAGCAGAAAAGGTTACGGAGTATGTAATATTATTCTGTAAAGCAGCTAATGAAGAAGTTCTGAGTGCAGACCAATGTGTTGTGCAAGTGTTTAATGATGATAAAAACTATGAAACAGATGGCTACGTCCAGGTAAACCACACACGTCTGCCCACACCAACAGTTTCTTAGCATCCAAAAGCTTTGAACTAATGAAACTGGTTTCTTAAACAAGGTTTCTCACATCACTTCCACAATCCCATTTTCACAGAAACAGACATGAGCCTCATTGGAGCTCCAATGTTTTAGTCAAGGTTTACTGCTAAAAAGAACAGGAGCAAAATAGAACTTTCCAAAGAAGTCCAGGGCCCGTATTTATCAAGATTCTAAAAATCGTCTCATAAAACTCTTAATTTAGCTTAAAAACCTTTACGTAGGAGTCTTAGCTTAAGAGTGATTCAGGAGTAGGGAAAAGATAAAAAAACTTTCATCTTAGTGAGGAGGCGGGGCTGACACCATTGCTATGTATGACACAATCTTTTGAAGACTGTGATTGGTTGGTTGTCCAAGAAGGAAAAAAAAAGAGTGATTTTAACTATAGGGTCTATTCTAAGCCTTTATATATGCGTATATACATTATTTGTTTATTTATTTACGATGCTGTTAATTTCCTATAAGATATTTGATTGGCTTAGAATGATAAAAATTGTTCCACTCTTTCCAATTACACTGATTGCTGGCATGTGGATGAACACAAGGCCATCCTTAAAGGAAAATTCAGCCCAGGTGTCAATCTATAGCATCTTATTAACTCACTGTCATCCACACTGTAAAAAAAAAATATTGTTGGTTTAACTTAAAAAATGAAGCAACCTGGTTGCCTTAAAATTTTAAGTTAATTGAAATGGAAAAATGGAGCAGATACTCAAAATATTATGTTATATGAACTACATCAATTATTTAAGTTGATTTGACAAAAGAAAAAAATGTTGTGATTACAAACCATGAAAATATTTTTTGCAGTGCATTGTCTGCAACACATTTCTTCTTTGTCTTTCTGCCATTTTCTCCTCAGCTAAATAAACTCTTAAGCCTCTTAAAAGTCCTCGTCCGCACTCCTAAAATGTTGACCTGAAAACTTTTTTAAGGATTAAGATACTTTCTGAATTACTTTTATAATTACTAGAATTTTTTTTAAATTATTTTTAAAAGGGTAAACGCCCACATTTCTACGAATTTTCTTAGAATTTTGTCACTAGGAGCTACTCTTTGCATTAAGATTCTTTATGAATACGGGCCCAGGTCATTTTTATTTATGATATTTCCGAAAAGAAAAAAAAAATGTATTGGCTTTATAATTCTGTTTTATTATGAGGCTGAATTGCACACCTTTTCCCAAATAAGTTTCTACAGTGACCTTTCTCTTAGGGAGCAACTTTTGACCTTTACATCCTAGACACCAATTCCATCCAGGGATTCCAGGCTAGACTGAGAGGAAAAGGTCAGGGATTCTGAGCTGTGGTTTCATCTCCTGTCCTCCGACTCAGGTTTTTGATGCCTTATACTGACACATTCTTCTTTTACTTTTACTGCAGCTTGATCTTTTTAATCCATCTAAAAGGTCCATCTAGTAACCTTTTAATGAAATATAATATATCAGATAAAATATGATATAAATATAGATGTTTAATATAAATCTGTATGCACATTAATCTGGAGATGCACTTTTTTGCGCTAGTAATGTACAAATCATGCTATTGATTGATGCTAAAATCCTCATTCAGTTTCCCATATTAATTCCAGTCAAAGTCCTTTCAGAAATTACATTGGACTACCTAAAATGTGTTACATTTGCACTTTGTTTTTAATCTTTCAATGGATCCTATATTTAGCAGAGGGTGCTGCAGACCCTGAATTGCTCTCAAGAAGGGTCAGAAAAGGTCAACAATGCTGTGGTCAAGCAGAGAAGCGCCCCTGCACAAATGCCATATTATTAGAGTTGCATTGGCGGATGCAGTTATTAATTGCTTGTAACTTAAGTCTTTGGTTTTGGTGCATGCATGGACTTGCCTTTGTTTTTGTACAATCTCGACATGCATGAACTTACTTTGGGGTCTTTCTCGTAATAACTCTGCTGTGTTCTGATCCATCTGCCTACCAAGTGATCTCTGACTGTGTGCGCGAGCGCAAAGTAATAATCCCGTTTGGTGGATACGTTCCTGTCCTTTACCAGCGTGAAATGCAAATGACGATTAAAGTTTTTCTTTAAGTCCGACACATTCTCTACACCGGCAAGCCCTCTCACAGAAATCTGCTTTTTCCTGTCGTGGTCTGACAGTGGTTTGGACATGGTGACAGCAGTCTCGGATCAGATACGAGTGTATAACGCCAGACCGCAAGCAAAAGAACCCATGCCGCATTGACGACGGCTCTGTTTTAAAGTCCCCTCATGAATATTAAGTAGAGGGCGGGGTCAGTGCGTAGCCTTCTGCCAATTACATTTTCAATATTTTTAAAGAGAATATGGTGTTTTCTTTTTTACGCTGCTGTTAAATAATATGTGGCTTACAATAGAAGTGTAAATTAGCCTGTTGATAAATACCCGTATTTTTGAGTTGAACAGCATTTCGTACAATAGCTTGAGTGTGCATGACTCTCTGGAGCCCAAGACATTAATAGCTGCAATGACCCAACTCAAAGGCCATGATATTTGAACGGCACGCGGATCAGTTCAATTTAACAGAGCACCACAGCATCTTGATACACCACCACATATCACATTTCTTAATCTAATACACAAAATAAATAATTAAACAATCAGTTCTTGGAAGTATTACTATAATTTACATATTAGCACTGAATATAATCTAAATGTACACTTACATTTAAGATAAATACAAGCAATTGAAGGTTGTTGTTTTTTTTTTTTACCCCGTGCAAATATTTTAATATCCTAATCACAATCCTATGTCCATTTTTTTTCCTAATTAAACACCAAACATTTCTCTGTATTTCATCAGGTGTAAGTTTTAACTTTAAACATTTTTTTAAAGTTAACCAATGAGACATTAAGTGTAATGTTATTTGTTTGTTTGTTTTTCAATTTCAATAAGGCACTTTTTTTCTTTTTACATTTTGGTCAATACAAACTTCAGTAGAGTGAGAAATTAAAGTATATGACAACGTGTGGCCACTGAGGGGAGCCAACACATCCGTTAAAGTTCAAGTTGATCACACCCTCAGAACTGGATTGTGGATGAGAGAAATAGTTTGTGTGCATGCTTTATTATCACAGTCCTGTTATGCTCAGACTTGCCATTTAAACAAACAAAGTCACAGTTTTCATTAATAATTCTCCAAAACTTGCATTTACTTGAGAAGCCAAATTTCATAATCTATAATTATATATTTTTAAGATAATATAATTATAGATTTTTTGGTCAAAAGTTTGGAAACATTACTTTATATATATATATATATATATATATATATATATATATATATATATATATATATATATATATGCTCATCAAGCCTGCATTTATTTGATCAAAAATACAGAAAAACAGTAATGTTATGAAATATTAGCCTATTACAATAAATAATGGTTTTCTATAGAACCTACTTTAAAATGTAATTTATTCTGATAAAGCTGAATTTTCAGCATCTCATGATAAAGTCTTCAGCTTCAGTGTCACATGATCCTTCAGAAATCATTCTAATTTGCTGATTTGATACTCAGTTATTATCAATGTTAGAAACGTTGTTGTTGTTTTTTTTGTTGGTTTTTTTTTGTGTGCTTCTTTTCTACTTTTTTATATCCTGTGATACTTTTTTAGGATTCATTGATGAATAAAAAGTTTTAAAAAAAAGAACAGCATTTATTCAAAATAGAAATCGTTTCTAAAAATATAAATCTTTACAATGACTTTTTATCAATTTACCACATTTTGGGGTCAGCAGAAAAAAAAAAACTTTTATTCTTGCTGAATAAAAGTAATTACATTAAAAAAACCAAATGACTGACCCCAAAATTTTGAATGGTATAGGGTACAGTATATTGTTACAAAAAAAAAATCTATTTTAAATAAATGCTGTTCTGTACTTAAGTACAAAAACTAATGTTAACAAATACAACTTTTGATTTGAATAATGTATTAGTAAAAGACTGTAAGAAGTATGGTCCGTTTTTGTTTATGTTACTAAATTTCTTAAATTAATGTTAACTAATAAAACCTTATTATAAAGTGTTACCAATTTTTTAAACATAAACCTCATAATTTTTTTGATTTGTGATTCAAATGAGAAAACAACCTCTTATGCAGTTTTGCTTCTCAAATAAATATGTATTGTTTTCTAAAGAAAACCTTTTTCTCTCATTCCCCTCCACCCATTTTTGGTGTGAAAAAGTTGTCGAAACATTATGAACAGGAAATGCGACAGCAGTAAGTTTCTCAACTGACAGGAAAGTTGTACACCGGGTGAACCTCAGTGAGGCCCTCTCTGTGGTTTTCAGTACATGGGTCGAGAGAGGCAGTCCTGAAACCCTGTGTTTATTAGCACTTCTGTTTTCAAATACCATCAGTGATCACTGTTGGACCTCTGATGCCAGATTCAACGGGTAAGTTCCTTTGAAAGGATTTCTAAGGCTTTTTTTCCCCCTTATACTGTTGTTGTCTGAGAACAGTTACCAGTACTATGGATCTTTGATTTTTCTTTTTCTTTTATGCACCTTGTTTTCCTCCGGATGAGTCTTGTTCGTTGTATTATCCATGTGTGACCAGGATTTGTGTGCTTTTGATGAAAATGAAAAAGCAGTGACACCCCTCACATCTAAACCATTCTCTGCTTTATTGATTCTGTTTCCTTTGCCGCTCATGCCGTTGCCTCATTTTCAGACAGAAAAAGAGAGGGATCAAAGAGAGGAGTGGAAAATTAAGTGGGGGGTGTGGAGGAGGGGCTGTGGAGAACAGTGAAGTAGAAAGGAATGGAGAGCGTTTCATCGGATCAGTCAGCCAGCGTGGATGAGCTGGTGGAAGCCTGCATCAAAGCCTTTGGTCAGTGCTCATATTTGCTTCTTCCTTCTCTTGTGTAAACAATATGATCAGCCATTCGGAACAGCACTGGCTTTTTCAACTGTGTACTTGTGTCTGTTCATTTATATTCCCTCCCACACTCATCAATATTTCACTATAGCTTCGAGCAGGGACCCCCTATCACTATACAATAATCTTTTAGGGATGCACTGGAAAAAAAAAACCTAACCTAAAAATAACAACATCTAAGTTAGAGGGATAGTTCACCCAGAAATAAAAACTCTGTCATCATTTACAATTACTCTTTCTTTAGCTGAACACAAAATAAGATTTTTTTTGAAGAATGATGGTAACCAAACAGTTGATGGACCCCGTTGACTAAAATAATATGGAAGTAAATGGGGTCCATCAACTGTTTGTTTACAGACATTCTTTGAAAAATGCTCTGTTGTGTTCAATAGAAGAAAGAAATTCCTACAGGTTTGGAACAACATGAGGGTGAGTAAACGATGACAGAATTTTCATTTTTGGGTGAACTATCCCTTTAACTGGTTTTATTCAAAACCAATATTGCTGAATCAACCTAAATACATTAAGTTAAACCAAAAAAAAAAAAATATGGGTTAAAACTAGTTAAAGGAGAACTCTGGTCAATTTTAACATTGAGCGAATTGTTTTGTATATTTGGAGTGCTGTCAGTACAGACAAAAATGACGAAATCGGTGTTGCCTACACCATGTTATCCTATTTTTAAAATTCGCAACCTGTTGACTTCAATGGGGCAAGTTCTAAACCTGCTTTTAGCCTCTTAACGTCCTTGAATTGTCATTATGAGTGCACAGCCATGTCGTGTTATTAAGAGTGACCACGGTCAATCTGACTGCAGTAGATGTGAAAGATAATAATAAAAAATGGTGTTAATTCAGCCAGCTCACATACCTGTATTTACTTCCTGTTTTCAGCCAAAGTCCACAGTAGTCGATTGTCGAGTTCGTGCGCGCAATCATTGGTAACTAAGCAACAGTGGAGACTCAGACTGTCAGCTGTCAGCCGATGACGGCGCTGTGTGTGTGGTGTTCAGAGAATATCACCTTAAAGGAGAACTCCGGCGAACAATGAACCTTTGGTCTAATAAAACATCGGTACATAGTCAACCGTTCTCTGAGTTTTGTTTTCATGATAATCGAATGTAAAGAGTTTTATCTCTAAAAACTGTTTAGCGTATAATGCTAGTAATGGGGGCATTGACTAAGTAAAAAGAAATCGCTAGTTTATACCACTAACAAGGCTCAAAATAGCCCCACACTCACACAGTAATATAATGAGGCTCCATACATACAAAACGAAGCATTGAGAACTTTGTAAGTGTACAGACCGTTTAATAAGAAGATACTTTATGAAGACAGTTCACTTCGCGTATACAGACAGGAGCCATCTTAAAAAATAGTCTCGATAAGTCAAACCGAACTTCTGAACTGTATGAACGGCGTTCGGGGATCGACTTACAAAGTTCTCAATGCTTCGTTTTGCATGTATGGAGCCTCATTATATTACTGTGTGAGTGTGGGGCTATTTTGAGCCTTGTTAGTGGTATAAACTAGCGATTTCTTTTTACTTAGTCAATGCCCCCATTACTAGCATTATACGCTAAACAGTTTTAAGAGATAAAACTCTTTACATTCGATTATCAAGAAAACAAAACTCAGAGAACGATTGACTAGGTACCGATGTTTTATTAGACCAAAGGTTCATTGTTCGCCGGAGTTCTCCTTTAAATGGATAGTTCATCCAAATCAGCGTTCAACACACGGAGGAGATTTTTGAGTTCATTTTTACCAATGATCGCGTGCGTGAGATCGACAATCGACTACTGTGGACTTTTGACCGAAAACAGGAAGTAAACACAGGTATGTGAGCTGGCTGAATTAACATCAATTTTTTATTAATATCTTTCACATCTACTGCAGTCAGATTGACCATTGTCACTTTTAATAACACCACCCATATGGCTGTGCACTTGTAATGACAAATCAAGGATGTTAAGAGGCTAAAAGCAGCTTTAGAACTATATAAATATAATTGAAGTCAACAGGGTGTGAATTTTAAAAAGAGGATAACACGGTGTAGACAACATCGATTTTTGTCATTTTTGTCTGTACTGACAGCACCCCAAATATACAACAAAAAATAATGAGCTCAATGTTAAAATTGATCGGAGTTTTTCTTTAAAAACAGCCCTTGCAGGTTACCACTTTACAGTGTGGTCTATGCATTTCACTTGATACATTTTAATGAGGGATGGACAAAGACAAACTTAGCTGAACTTTAGCTTTTAGACGTTCTAGTTGAATTTAGCTTAAAATGTTTGTTTCATTTAATGCATATTACATTTTTATA